TCTGCTTGCAGTCTCTGCCAAGCCTTCCCAGCAAGGGTCTGGCAGCATTCCCCTCCAGATAACATGTTGGTGTGCAGTCAGAAATAAATGTCTGGGTGCAGAGTTTAGGGCTGCCCTTTTTTTTTTCAGGACAATCTGTCCTTCCTGCTGCAGAGAAGAGAGAGACAGGCAGCCCCAGCATCTTCTGAATCCAAGCTGGGCTCTGCTGAGCCCCAGGATCTGCTCAGGGGCCCAGGGAAGATGGTTCAGGAGGAGGAAGCAGAGTTCCCCCGGGCTGCACTGTTAACCATGGACAGCACAATGCCTCTCTGTGCTCTGATGTTCTCTGTGCAGCTGCACCTCTCAGAGCCCGCTGGAGTCAATAAAACAAAACTGATGAATTCTCCCACGTCCCCCAGTGCTGCCCCAGCCTGGCTTTGAAGGAAATGGGGAAGCAGTTATTCTGCACACCTCAGCCTGCCTCTGAGCTGATGGATATTTCCCCCCACACCCCCGGGATATCTTCTTAAAGTACACTCACATCTGAAAGACAACTGTGTGAGGCAGCTCACCTGAACGCTATTCCAAACACATCCCTGCCAAGGTTTCTGCCCTGCCGTGTTTCAAAAATAAAATTCAAAAACCCCAAACAAACCACTTCAGAAACCTTTGCTGAGGAGCACAGAACCAGGGTAGGGGTGAGGTATCTTCTATCTCCCCAGCCTGCAGAGATCCCACTTCTCTGGAGCCACTGATGTGGCATCACTTTACCTTCCCAGGGACCTAAGCCTTCCACACTTTGCAGAGAGATATTTCATTTGCAAACACTTGTTTGGCAACAGTTTGTTTCTGCTGCCAGACATGATTTCTTTACACTCTGAATTAATGATTAACAATTAAATTATTTGACAAGGGAATAGAGAGGCCTTGTGCTAATTAAATTCCTTCATCACTCCTCTTTGGAAAAAAAAAAAAAAGAAAGAAAAATTTATTTCTCAATATCAGCATTCAGCCAGAACAGGGCATTTTGTGATGTTGGACTTAATTAGATGGACAACCATGGCCACAGCCAAAATAAAAAAAACAAAATACAAAAACATTGCTCAAGGATCACGCAAATGGGATGAGGAAGAAAAGGAAACAGTGGACTGGGAAGCCAGGAATCAAGTGAACAGACACATCCAGACTGCAGAAGAGCCACTTTCTAAACCAAATAATTGTTTATAAGAATATATCATCTGTTTAGATGAAACAAAATGATGCAGACAGAGTGCCTGTATAGGCTGGGAAAACCCAGCAATAGGTGTCCTGCAAAGCTTGACTGCTCTGTTTTAAGGGATGCAGTCCTGAGCTGCTGGGCTGCTCATCTCCACCACGCTCACATCCTGCTTGTGGCTGGACCTCCCGGGGGCTTGCTGGTGTCTGCTTACACGCCAGCATTAATATCACAAAAGATTATGCTAGTTCATCGACCCTTTGAAGAGATCCTTCCCATTGTAGCTGCTGTGATGATTGCCTGATGGCACTTTCTCAGCCAGATCCACTAGGGATTACAGGAGCATAAATAAGATAAGCCTCTGTCTGACTGCTATTAAAATGCACTGAGAGCTCGGCTCAGACAACTCTTACACCAGTGCAAACTCCATCCTCGGTGGGTTTGTTACAGCCTTTGCCTCCCTTTGTTTATTCACAGAATAATCTTCTCTCTGAGCATCACAACAACCCACACTAAATTTCCAATTCTCTTCCACTGCCAATAATTTTAGAATCACTTGGCAATTCCCCTCTCCTTGTCTCTGTGAGCCAGGAGACGAACAGTCCTGTGGGACTTGGGAGGGTGTTCTGGAAGGACAGAGGGATGGAGAAAATCCCAGAAAGCTCTCAGGGAAACACAGCACTAGTCCAGACGGACCTGGAAGACAGAGGAAGCTGGCAGATTGTTTGGGTGCTGTCTGAGCTAAGCTGCCATTGCAAAGCTCAGCTGTCACAATCAGAGTGAAAATTTTGGGGCTCTGCTAGACAAATTCCATCCACCTAAAGCAGTGGGGTGGATCAGCCTCTCTGCAACTCCCAGTGGTGTTTTCTGCCATTATTTCTAAGATAGAGAATAGACCCAGCAGCCTGCTTCTAGAAAGGCTGCTCCCCTTGCACTGCTTTCTTGCCTTTTCTTGTTAAATCCAGGGGAGTCTAGTTTTAGGAAAGCATCTAGTAACCAAAAAAAAACTTGAGGGAATTCAGAACTCACCATTCCCAGGTAAAGCCACACAGCAGCCAGACAGATTTTAAAACATGCATCAAGCCACTGAAGCCTTGTATGACAGTTTCAGCACATCCCCAGAGGTGCTTCCAGGGATGGGCACAGGGATGGGCATGAAGTTGCAGAAAGCAGTGGGGCTGTGAGAGCGTGGTCCTCTCCCAGAGCTTTCTGAGCTCCAGTTATCCAAATATTTATTTCCGTGGGAAGTGAGCCCATGAAATTAATTTAATTGCAGCTTTGATGCAGAAAGGATCAGAAAATGGCACCCAAGAAATAGATTCACTCATTGGAAGTGGGGTGAATATATCAAGTAGAGACTTTCACACTGAATTTAAGGGAACGATGCACACCGATTTCTGTGCTTTTCCACCTCATTTTTTAAAACACATGCCAGGGGAATTGCAGTTTCTAATTATCTTTTTCCACTTAAAGATTATTAGATGCTTATTAGGTTTGTATTGCCTCTCCCCTCCCACACACATTTTCCATTTCCATATACTTCATCCAGTCTACAGTTAATGAGAAGAAATCAGTGTATTGCATCGTCTGGCATCTTGCTGAAGTGGCAGAAGTCTTTGGTTACCAAGTCATTTGTTGCTTAATTGAAATCTTTTCTCTGGACTCATTGCCATGCAGACACTCCATTGGAATGCAGTAGTCAAGCCCAGTATTGATTGTCCTCCCACTCCCAGCTTTCTTCTGCATTTGCAAATCAATTGCACCCTGTTGCTTTCCTTCTAAAAACAAATTAAATTAAAAACCATCACCCATCCCACAACCCCATTTACCCCTGAAATACATTGGTTCTGCTTTGCAGTATTTTCTTGGGGCAGAGATGGGGACAAGACAAGAAAGGGGACATGGTTGTAGCAAGAGCAAGATCCACACCTTTTCAGATCACCACCGAGGAAAAAAGTGCAGCAGCTTGTACAGATATGGTCCAGTGGGGAGTGGATTGGGAGTCCTCAAAGGAGTGAATAAAATCCTGGTTTTAGGCTCTCACTGGAAGTGATCTGGAATTAATCTCCCCTCTTCACTGCAAATTAAACTATTTTTAACAGTTAAAAATTCAGCAATCAGAGAACTCTGTTGCAACTTGCAAAAGGAGCCAGTCTGCAGTTGTGAGTTTGCAGGACCGAAAACCAAGGCTTGGCAAGCCATAGCTGCTGACACCAGAAAAGAAAGTCAATGCAATGCAGGTTACCAGATTCCTAATTTCGAAATTAGGTACCCAAGCGTTGTAGAATCCCATCTGATTTTTTTTAAGTTTTGAGGAATCAAATGGTTCAAAATGCTCTTATCAAGATAACACATCTCTTTGGGGTTTCAGCTCAAACTTGCATTGGAAGAGCTCATCTTTGGGGGCAGGATCCTATTAATACCATGCATAATTACAGCCCCAAATTCTTCCCAAAAGATCTTGTGTCTGTACTTAGCATGACTCCTGCTGCAAAACTTCCCAAGGTGAGGCCCTCATGCTGTCAGAGGACTCTGGTGTCATTTGTGAGGACATGTGTAGCCAAATGGCTTGTGCCTGCTGTAAACTCCCTTAGACCTGCCAGCTGCTCTGTCAGGAGCTCCCCACCATTCCCACAGCCTTTGTACTTTAAAAAATTCAGGAGTTTTGCAGTGTGAAGCAATGGCCTCACTTCCTCCTGAGCAGCTTCCTTTGGCTCATTGTACATTTGCATTGCAATGCTGCCTGCAGGCTTTACTCAGCACCAGGCACCTGAACCCACAGGCTCACCCTAACCACATTGCCTAGGAGATTTGTGGGATTTTTTTGGATCATCTAGGCAGTTTTACTCAACACTTGCAGCCTGGGAACAGACTTGTGTTCAAATAGAAACCATTCAACCGGAGGGAGGGTACTGAATGGTGGCTGCTCCTGTCTAGGAAGACAAACCTTCCTGCAAAGCTGAGAATGAGCACCTAATACCAAGGGTTACTTGCTCCTCTGTAGATGGCAACAGCAGATTTCCTAAGCCCAAATCATCTCCCTGCAGATCTTGCAGACTCCCATCGAGTCAGAAGGCACATTGCCAGCCACAGGTTTTTGTCTTCTACAGATAAATTTATGATTTCACTCTTCCTGCCCCAGAGTCCACACAGATCCCAGAAAGATTCCATTTCCTTTCCTCTTCAACCCAACACGAGTATAATTTCAGGGTGATACTCCAGACACTCCAGTTCTGTGCTGAACTCAGACCCTGCATTGCAGGTAGCAGTAGCAAAGGCTGGACTGATCAGCAGAACCACCCCTCTCCCCTCCAGCCCCACAGGCTCTGCACGAGCTGTGCCACCACATGATGCTCATTTAAACCTCAAACTCCAGATTCCTCTGATCCTACCTGCCTTTTGGAAAATCATACTGTCAGAGTACTGAATATGCTCCTTGCTATTTGCCCTGTAATTAAGCAGTAATTGCTGCCCAAGGTTAATCTCAGAGTGTATTTTACCTGTGGAGCTCAGCGCCAGAGTTCACATTTGTAATTTAGCGGCACACGAGGAGCTATACCTAAACTCACAAAAGGATTTTCACTGCTCATCATCTCTCTTCTACTTTGGTGGCAGCTGGGATTCTGTATTTGGAGATGTTTGGGCTGGGCAAACAAATTAGCTGAGACCAGCCTCATTAGGAATTCACATGGGTACCCATCCTGCCTCAGCAGGAATAAGATGCTGACTGCTCTGTTTCTGGACCCCAAGCCCTCCCCAGCATGGGATCCACACTGAAACCTCCTCTTTATTTCTACTTGCACAGCCTGGCAGCCTCCAAGGAAGCCGAAGCAGCAGCTCGATCTGCCCCCAAACCCATGTCTCCTTCCGACTTCTTGGATAAGCTGATGGGGAGAACTTCAGGATATGATGCCAGGATCAGACCAAATTTTAAAGGTATGCAAAAACACCCCAGCTTTTTCACATTTTGGGACTGAAAACTGCATCCAATCCTCATTAATATCTTCTTAATGCTGTAAGAAGTATGAATATCTATGTTCTTACCAAGTATGTATTATAAAGATATTTGGCACATGGATCCCTGTAGATTTCTGGAAAGACATCAACAAATGTCTGCTCAGAGTGGAAATAACCTTGTAAGAACTTCACATACTGTAAGCATAGGGCCCCCCAATCCCTGCTTGGATCAGGAAATCTCAGTTTATCAATCTCAATATATTAACTGAGGATCCTGTCAAACCAAGCAGTGACTGTCAGGAAAGTGAACTTCTTTAGAGATAAAGATAAAATCCCCAACTTTCCTTTCCCCTGGAGTCACTCACTGCCCACACCACCTGCTAATGGCAAGCAATGCTCCCTTACAGCCACTGCAGCCTCTCCCATCAGCTCCACAAAAATCCCCCAAAATGCCGGGGGCAGCCCAAGCCCATCCTTGACCCCCATATCCCCAACACTGCTCTATTTTCCCCACACAGATTTCCAGTCTATCCCATATTCCATGGCAGCCAAGCAGCACTGAGGCAAGCCCTGGCAGAGGCAACAAAACTTCTTTTCTCCTCCAAACCCCTCTTCTAGCAAGTGTGGGGTTTTTGGATGGCTTTCTCAACCTGGTCTAATGGAAGATGTCCCTGCACATAGCAGAGAGGATGGATCTAGAGGGTCTATAAGGACTCTTCCAATTCAAACCATTCTATGATTTTTTGTTTTTCTTTCTTTTTAACTGCTCACTTTCCCAGAGGCTCTTTGACCCCAGATCACACCCAGAGATAAAGCAGGACTTGCTCCTCTCAGCCACTGCCAAGCCATCTCCAGAGCTCATTTTGTTCACTGCTTTTGTTTCCTGCAACCAGTTCCCTCTCCCCTGGAGCCACTGGCGGGGCTGACAGGATTTCCAAGACCCATTAATCACTGGTGACAGCACCTGGCACCCAGCTTTGGACAATAAACTCTGTGCTGGGCTTTTAAATCCAAAGAAAGGTGGGAACCCTGTGCCCCAGCAACTAACCAGGCAACAGAGGACACTGCTGTTCTTATCCAAATGACAAGGAGTTAAAATACCACCCTGTAAACCTGCCTACCTCTAAATAATGCACACACACAAATTAAACTTTAATATTTAATGAAATGTATACATTCACTTCCTGCTGAAGGCAGCTGTATTGCATTTTTATTTGAGATAATTTAATTTTGGTTTTATTTCAATGAACTACACCTTCCCCTCAGGGCAGTTTTGCTGGCTTAGCCTCCCACACATAAATCAGGCTCCAATTTATATGGGAGGCATAGGAGGTGTTTTACAGAGCTTGGGGTTGTAGCTCTCAAAGCACATCATTTAAATTAACTGCAGTAACTCATAAGGACATTTTAATTGCTTAGATCTAACTGAAAATAATACCAAAGATCCATATCAGATTGATTTTTGGGGAGGGGAAGATTAACAAAAAGAAGATTGCAGCTTTTCCATAAATGCTGTAAAGTCTGGACTTAGCTGTGGATTCACCTTCTGAGAACACATAAGTAGTATCTGGGTTTTAAGTTGGAGGATAAAGTCAGGAGCTCGAGCAGGAACAGAGAGGAACCTGGCAGGGGACCTCTCACCCAGGCTGTGCCCTAGTCCCTGCTGCTGGAAAATTCCATTTCTCCACAGCTGCATCCCAGCATAGAGGAGGAATATTTCAGTGGCAGGCAGGGCACTTTCTAAAGCCTCTCACAAGCTAAAAATTACCAAAAATCACCAAATCCTGCAGGGAGCTCATGGCTCACCTTAGGCACACTGAGAAGAGCTCAGTGCCTCAACAAGAGCTGGGCTGCCCCAAGGAGCCTTCACAGGGCCAAACTCACCCCACACTCAGCTTTGTGTCAGCACTGGATCAGGAACAGGGGGACCAAAATATTCCACAGAAACATGTGCAGTCATCCAGGAGATCAGCTCAGTGCTTTCCTTATGCTGTGCCCTTTGGGAAGGGAATTACCTGTTCAAGGACCTTTTATGTGGCTCAGGAATGGATCCAGAACAGACAAACAATGCCCCTGAGCCCAACAGAAGGGATGAAACAAGTACTAAAGCCTGATAACTGTGTGCTTTCAGCTTATGGATAAACTTCTGGATAAGAGGGGCTGGTGAAGGCAAGGAGGGAAAAAAAGATATAATTTTTGTGTCTGGTAGCTCAAGCTATGCCAGTGTTTAACAGTCTGGATAAAGCTGCACAGACTGAACAGTGTGAGATGCTGCTGAGCTGGCAGTGCTTCTCTGGGGGCTGGCTGACACAGCCTGCTCAGATTGCCTGGGACTCACACCAAGAAAACCCCAGCAGAGAGCATCACTGCAGGGGACAGGCACAAACTTCCAGAGGAGGCCAAAGCAGGAGAGGAGGAAAGAGAAATGAAGAGGAGAAAACCAAGCTCCAAATGTTCCTCAGTAATCAGGAAAATTCATTAATTTCCACACAGGAGGAAGTTTGCACTGATTAGAGGCACAAGGCTCTCGTTAAAGCCATTCCTCCCCCCAGTATTTCATGCTGCAGCAACTGCCAGACTGCAGATGTGACCTTAACAGGAACATCACTCCCCCAGCAGGCTGAGCCACCAGACAGTGTTTGAAATGCAGACACCAATCCTGATTCCATAAAAAATGGGGGAATAATCTGAAAATCTACACTCTCTACTGTCAGAGATCTTATCTTCCCAGAAGCATCTATCACAGGGATGATTTGGGATTAGCTCTGGTGTAAAAGGGGACCTTGGTCCCTGGGGCAGTGTCTCTGCTCTCTGCCTGGGCTGCCTTTCCCCACCACATCCTGGGCAGTGCCCACAGCAGCCTTTGGCAGTCCCCAGAGCTGCCCCTTTTGCTCCAACCCACTACAAAAATCATCTCATCATGTGTGAGCAAGCCACAGGTTTGCCAGGCACCAGGTATGCCCTGGCTCCAAAATATTCCCCAGCATTTTGCTTTGTGCTGAACTGCAGCTCTTGGCATCTTCCTCTGCCTAAATGCAGCATTTCCACCTCAGATTTTTCCAGGCAATGTTATGAAACACTTCCATCACACCTTGGGGCATCAGTACCACATGAACAGACTGACCCCCACGCCCTCAAACCACAATCCTTCATCCCCTGCCCTCACTCCTTTCCTTTGGTGACCCCTTAATTCTCTAGTATGAGCAGGGTAAGCAAAGCTCTGGTCTGAAAGCAAATCAAGTCCAGGAGAGGCATGGCCCAGAGACCAGGATTACCTTCTGCCCAAACAGGACAGCCAGAAAATTCCTGCTGGCAGAGCCCTGAATTCTCCTACCCAGCTGTGAGCCCTGACAGCGTGGATCAGGATCATCACCTGGGGTTTGGGGTTTACAGGCAGCTCTCCTTGGAAACACCAACAGCAACACAAGAAACACAGGTACTAAAGCATCTAAAAAGGAGGTCTCAGGACACTGGAAAGGTCTTTGGTATCTGTAACCTGGGATTTACCCTGCTGAGCAGCCGGTCTCTCCCTGCTGTTTGAGGATGCAGAGGGTCAAGCAGGCAGTGTTAGCCCACCACCACCATCATCATGTGGGGTATTTGCTGCTCTAGCCAGCCTGCTCTCCACAGCTCACTCTGCTGCACTGGCTTTGAAGGAAGCACCTCATCCTAGTTCAGGAACACTGAATATTTCAGAGGTTTAGCTCTAAATAAAAGGCAGTTGTCTCTCAGCTCCTTTCTGGGATATTTTGCTATCACATTCAAGGTGAAACTACCACACATACAGCCAGGCCAAGACACCTAGAAACTGTCCTGGCTGGCTCTGATCTATTCCTGTTTATCTGAGCAGTTCCCAGCAAAGATCTATAAACACTGCCAAACAGGGGAACAGAGGCAGAGCACGAGCCCTGCCTGGTGTCAAACTGGCATCAGAACCAAGACTGGACCTGGCAGGGCACCCAGGCCTTCCTCCCCTGCTCACCCCATTCCCACAGCATGTTTATATTCCAGAATTGAGCTCCTCTGTTCCACAAGCACACAGTGAACTGCTGTTCCAATCTGTGTTTGTCATGCAGGCCCACCAGTGAACGTCAGCTGCAACATTTTCATCAACAGCTTTGGTTCGATTGCAGAAACAACTATGGTAAGTAAAAATCACAGCACAGCTGGTCAGCTACTGCCTCAGCCTCACTGCACTCCCAGAAAATGCAGCATCACTCTCCTCCTCAGGGGGACCAGGGAAAACACTCAGTGCTCCTGAGCTTACTCAGAGTTTGAGTAAATTAATGGTCAACACACAAGACTCATTTCATGTGGATGAAGATCACAGAGTCTCCATCTCCATCTTATAAAAACACCTCATGAGCAAAGGACAAGGGTCAGAAAGGAAAATAAATAATCTTTTTCTGAAGATTCACATAAGGCTCCAAGCTCAGTGACTGTTACAGATTCTTTGTGTTTGAGTGGGCATAAATCCAAAATTAATCTGGATTCAAAGAGAAGGGAAATCAGCCGAACTCAAATTCAGCTTGCACTAGGATTTCAGATTCCCAAAGATTAAGAGAATTATTAAAGACTACAATGATTGTTTTCTTGCAGACACATTTCTAGTAGACAATGATTTTTAGAAGAAAATCAAAACCAATATTTCTGAGTTAAGGCTCACTTCATACAAAATTAGTGAGCATGGCTAAAGGCTGTATCTAATTGGCAAGGCACTAAGAACAGAGGATCCCTAGAACAGGAGATAATTGCTCCATCTGAAAACTATTAAAGATTGGTTGTGACATAACCAGTGAACAGCAAAGGAAAAAACTCTGGAGGTACTGCGCCTTACTGCTGTGCTAATTAAAGATAATCCAGAAATATGGTGTTTAATTACCCTCTGGTAATTCTTTTTCTAGAATAATGCTGAATGAAGAATGCAAGGCTCCAGCTTCAGGCGTTCTGTGCATTCAGGCAGGAAGTTTTAAGCTTTGCATAGAGATCACACCCCTTGACTTGAACAAATTACTTGGCATGCACAGCACTGTCAGAGGACAGCCACAGCCATACAGCTCAGGCTATGAGTCCCTTCTGACACTACATCATTCTGCTGGAAATATTTGGGTTGGGACAGTTCAGTTCTGGTAGTGGAGGAGAAAAACAAAGCTGTAATTCTGTCCAAGCACAAGGAAATAGATCTCCTATCTGGCCTGTAGAATTTGTCAGAGCTCACAGGTGGGGAGTGTAGCATGGATTCATTTGTATATAAAGCAAAAGAGGAAGAACTGCCACTGAAATATACATCTGTTCCTAATTTACTGTTTATTGGTTACCTCCTTTGGCCTTGCAGGCAATAAATGCTGTTCCTACACACCAACCCAGAGTGCGAGGGAGCAGGACAAGCCCCCAAAGGATGTGTGCAATGTACAGAGCACACCCCACTAAAGTGTTTTTCAGTGCATCTGCCCCACACTGCGAGATGCACTGGAGCAGCCAAAGATGCCACACGATCCCTGCGAGCAGGATGCTCCATAAAATTAGCACAGGCTAGCACAAGAGAGATGCAGTTCACCTCCAAGACACGCTGCAGGGACTTGCTATCATCTCCAGATGCCACTCATTTCATAGGCACTCTTCCATGGAAAAAAAATCCCCATGGGAGCCCGAGAACACCCTGTGGGCACATTGCTCTGTCTGGAAATATCCGAGGCAGCTCTGACAAGCCAGCCCAGATGTCAGGCTGACACAGCAGCACACAGCCCGAGCTAATGTGTGGGAGCAGCAGTTCTGCTTGTAAACACCAACAGCAACACAAGAAACACAGGTACTGAAACAGCTGAAGCACAGGTCCCGAAACAGCTGAAATGGAGATCTCAGCATGCTGGGGATTTGTAACCCGGGATTTGCTCTGCAGAGCAGCCAGTCCCTCCCTGCTGTTTGAGGATGCAGCAGGACAAACAGGCAGTGTCAGCTCCCCAGCAGTTTCTGGGAAGAACAGACTGTCCTGTCTTGAAGGGTTTTTGAGACAGATCTGACCATTTTGAATTCAAATTGGTCAAACATCAGGGAAGGGGTGGCAGCTTTCATAATGGAGAGGGGCAAATCAGTGTTTTACCAGAAAGAAAGCCATCCCCTGGGACTGATGATGGCAAAACTCCCCCAGCTGCTTCACTGGCCAAAAAGAGAAAGCAAATTATGTTTAAACCTCCATCATTAGGCACTCTAAGCCTAGTCAGGTTCAGGTCTGAGTACTATAGCACCTTCTATTTCATTACTATTACACTATTACCTGCAGGAACAGTCAAAGGGTTTTATGAGCACCCCACATGCAATTGAATAAGGCTTTAAAGTATCTCCATAGTGAGCTGATACTTCCTACAGAAAATACCACTGCTCCCTTCTAAGTTTACACTGCCTGAATATCACAAATCAGTGTAAACCATGAGCTCACCGCGCAGAGGATTAGAGAAATTAGAGGGAGAGTGCTCACTTAAGGCTTAAGGCCTCATGGAAGGTAGAAGGAGAGGAAAAAATACAGAAAAAAATAGAAAAATACCCAGGCATTTGATGTAGACAGCTGGATCTACAAACCTCAGAAGGAAAGACAATGAGATCTGAAAACTGCTGCAAGGTTAGAAGGAATTAAAAAAAAGTTAAAAGGCAAAGTCATCCACCATATTGAATTCCTAAGGCAGAGCTGATTTAGAGCAAGGGAAGCACCTCCTTTAAGCATCCTGCAGAGCTGCAGACCCAACATAAAATCCTCTAGTGGTGCACATAATTGATGGGACATTTATGTTGGATCGCAGCTCAGAGCTTATATCCAGCCCCACTTGCCTGGAGCTCTAAGGACAAGGGAGGCTGGCACTGGGAACACATTTCTTGTTGTGCTCCAAGGGGAAGGAGAGGACCAACCCCAACAGCCAGATCCTCCTGCCCCAAAGCATCACTGCAATAGCGGATCCAACAGCCTGGGATTCTCAAGGACAAGTGCAAGATGCATTCACTCTCTCCAGTTATTATTATGGCAAACACCAAAAAATCCCCAAACACAAGCTCTTAAATCCCTTTTTGCTGTTCAAAAGCATAAACAACTCCCCAGCCACACCAGATTATGAGACCTGTAGCAAATGTAGAAATTTCTCATTCCAAATAAACAGAAGTGAAGCACCTTCAGAACAGGTCTTGGGTTGTAAGGGAATAAACTGCACCAGCTTTGGCTTTTCTTTGGGGCATGAGGCAATAGATAGGATTATCTGAGCATTTAATTAACAAATTCCCTACTATAACAGCAACCTTGAAATTAAGTGATGCCTTTGCTCCCTCTTCCAGTGGAGGCTGCAGTTTTGTGGTCTTTCAGTGGCGTAGGAAGCTGGGAGCATTTTGTACACAGTACAGGCATGAGCAGAAGAAGGAATACATTTTTATATTATCCCCCAGCAATGCTAGCAGCTGGACTCAGCATGAGCTTTTCTAGACTCTTCTTTTAAAAAGAACCCACACACAGCAAAGAAGGGACTGGAAAAGAAAGAAAAATCACAGAAGAGCTAGATCAACCTCCCTTAGACACAGCGTAAATATGCAAATTCATTTTTGCTGCTTTCATGCCATAGTTATCTCATCTGAAAAGAGCAAAGCAAATGTGACCTTCCAGCCAGCTGCAGCACAGCCACAACTGAGCTCCCAGCATCTCCTGAGGACAGGAGAAGCTGGAAGTTGCAACTGTCCAAATGTTAAGTGCTTGTTCAGAGACATCTGCACATGAGATTTCCAACAAGAAAATAAAGCATCCTGCAAAGCAAACCAAGAAATTCAATCAAAACTCAAAAACCCCAGTACAGCAGAGATTCTGATGAAGAACTTTATTTATACTGGTCCCACTCACTCCAAAATCAGCAAAAGATAACGAGTTTCAGTGCACAAAGCTCATAGCAAAAGTTAGGCTTTGAGCAAAATTTCCTGCAGTCAGTCATTCTTAAACCCAACCATCAGTCCCACAGAGATGATAAGCACCTAACAAGTCACACAACACAAAATGAAAAGGTTTTCACACCTACTCACAGTCTGCTGCCATCTCTGTGTCAGACCCGCAGTGTTCCAGCTGTCTGTGATTAGAGTTTGTCTTTGCACTAATGCTTTGGGTTCCAGCACAAAAATCCCCACACTTATTAAGCACCAGGGTACTTCTCCCAGCCCTCACCGGGTGCCTGCCCTTCTCTGATACAGATTCCTCCTCCCCTCATCCAGGGGTGGTTTCACACAGGCTTCAAATTGGCTACATGGCTATTAACCCCTCCTAGGGCTGCTTCTGGTGTGCTTGGTGGTTTTGCAGTCTGTTCTAGTGCTCCTTGACAAGGCAGGTTGCCTTCAAAATGTTTGTTCATTCCCGTCATAGAGACTTAACTCAATGCTAACAAAGCCACTCATGCTCTGGTGGGGTCCCAGAATCCTCTTCTGAAGGAGATCAGTCTCTACCCTGCTTTTTGCACCAGCAAAATGTACATTTATCAAAGGGGAACTCTGTCCCAAAAACTGTTCAGTGCAGAGGCTGCTCTGACAGAACCCTGAGTCAGGAGGGAAAACCTATGGAGTTTCCTGAGGGGCTCCATCCCTTCTGCTCAGCACTGCCTCCAGCCTCCTCTGCTTTCAGCAGTAGATGTCAAGGCTATGGATCCTGGGAAGGTCTCAAATGATCTTCTGTTTCCTGTCTCCTTGCGAGGTCACTAAGCAGAATTTCATTTCAGCATTATCAAATTGAACTGCTTTGATCACTCCAGTTATTCTCTTCCTGCCTTGTGTCATTTCCCTCTTGGGAGCAAAATGCCTTTGTGCCAAATTGCAAAGCTCCTGAATGCCTTCCCTGCACAGAGCTGCTGCTCCCCTCTCCCAAGCCAGCCAGAGGAGCAGGCTGCACAGGATAATCAATGCCTGGATGTGATGGGCACACAAATGAGGAATGTGAGGGATAAGAAGGATATCGAGAAAGAGATTTTTATTTTTGTTTGCCAAGTTTGCAGCCCCAGTCAAACCTCTTATTTCTTTTCTTGAAAGTTCACATCAGAAACTGGCCAGTGCTGTCCATCATTTAGGAATAACTGTGAACTTCTTGGGGGTGCTAATTAAGATCTCCTATACAGCATCCAGGAGAAATGCTGCATATCTCCAGTAGCCAAGGAATGAGTGTTTCTTGGCTCATCACCACTCAGCCTGGCTGCAATGCTGAGGACAAAGCTTTCAGCACAGAGGATCCTCAGCTGGTACAGAACACTGTAACCCTTCTCTTAGCCTGTGTCACAGCACAGACATACCCTGACTGCTCTCCATGCCTTCTGCTGCCTCCTCAGGCAGTGTCGTGTCCACTTTGCAGTCACAGTGCTTGGTTTTACATTTATGTTCAAATAAGCCTTGACACAAGAAACCTAAAAGGCTGCTCAGAACCTTCAAGATTGCAATGCAATGACATAAGGGCAAAGGCATCTGGGAGAAAACCACGTTCTCAGAGAGCAGGCCAGAACTGTGGATCTTCCCTGAGTAGGAAGATCTGCATAAATGCACACATAGAGGTAAAATATTAATGCCCTGAAATGGCAAAGCAAGAGAATTGCATTCAGTGCATATATCAGATTTCTTCATCCTTGCCTTTATTATATCACAACGTAATGCCCTGTTTTCTGTATTCCAAAACAAAAAAATACCCACAGCAAACATTTGTCTCCAAAGGAGGAGCACAGAGTAACACAAACCAGAGTTACTCCCCACACCGCTGCACACCCCAGGGTGGAGGTGGTGCAGTTTCTCCCCGACACATTCACAAGTTGCCCCTGGACTGCTCTCAGCAGGCCATGAGGACAGGACAGTGTCACTCTAGAGGTGAATTAGGAGGGGCCTTCTCACAGCCATCCACTGTGAGAAGTTAATTTTATTTTCATTTGGCCCACAAGTATTTAATTAAGATGCCTCCTCATAGTTGCAAAGACTGTAGATAAAATTCTGCCTGTGGTCTATTGCTGTGGAGGCAACATAAACCATTCAACACCTCCTGTCTCACCCTTTCCTGTCCTTTTGTCAAGTTTTGGAGCTGAAGCAGTGAATTTACTCCACCAACAAAGCTTACCTGCAGTAACTCAGGCTGTTGGAAGGAATTTGGCTCCATTCCCTCCCCACTTCTACTACTCCATCAGGCTGAGCACACTTCTGGGCAGCTACCACTGAAGTTTCTTCCAAACATGAGTTTAATTTGTGTTGTACATGACAGAAGTCCCAAACTGGAGCTGACCTGCTAGCATCCAGCTTATTTGTAGCTGAATAAGCAAAACAACCTTTTGCTTTCTACCTATTAGGTCAGTGACATTGATTTCCCCTGGCTGCAATGGCTGCAAATCTTGATGCAGAGAAAAGAGAGAATTGAAAATATACAGGTAGCTCTGGGAGCTGCTGCCTGCTGTGGAAAGTGAGAATTCATGGTTACTTTCCTTCTCCAGGCTGTGCTGAGACCCTGGTCCCCAGCTGTCCCCAGCTATTCACATTTCCTCCAGACACATTATCCAGGGTCGACAGAGATGAATAATTAAGTGAGAGGGATGCACTAGGACTTGTGAAGGTGACACTTGGAATATCAGCAGAAGGAAAGAGTGTTGCAAGTCTTTTTTGTGTTCAGAGGTCTGCTCCTTTTAGCGTCAAGTCTGTGGTTCATTTGCTGTTGTCACAATCATTAATGTCATTAGCAGCTTCTGCGCTCTGAGGGTGCAGATGGCACCAAGTGGCCTGAAACAGACTCTAGATTATGTGCTTGGCTAAGAAGTGCCTCATCCAAAACACAGAGCACCCAACACAATCCTCTTATGAGAATAAATCACACGGGACTCCATTTTCTTCATGGTGGAAAAAGCCCATTCTTTATTCACATAACTCCTTTTTATACATTTTACAGACCTTATGTGGGACTCCAATTGGTCAGTAGTTTTCTTGCCAACAACTTTTATTGGTTAGTAACAGGTTGTTATCCTGTATTGATTGGTCACTCAGACTCAGTGTCTACTGCAGGGAAAGCTGTTTGTGAAAGATAATTTCATTTTTCTGTCTAATGGTGTAAAAACAGCTTATACAGGTGCAAGGTGTTTTTACCCAGGAATAGATTGTTATGTTAATGGACTGCTCACACCAGGACTGGTTTCATATCAGAACTTGCAAAAAGCTGGCTTTGACAAGGCCAGCCACTGATTCCAGGAGAGCAGGCTTGATTTTATGAAGCCTTTCTTTATGATTTTTCTACCTTACTGCAACATCCTCTCCCAACCCTCCAGTGCCACTGGACACCACGAGAGCCTCCTGGACAAGAGGCTGTATGTTCAAAGTCAAGTGAGCTCTTGAGGCAGCAGCCTCAGAGAAGGCACCCTTCAACTCCAGAACTTTGTGTTCTCCAGAGGGAAAGAACAGACCTGGTGGCAGAGTGAGGGGGAGCCTCTCACCGAGTGCCTGCAGCAGGTATCAGACACCAGCAGCACATCAGACACCCTCCATTAACCGTGTCCTAATAAAAGCCTTCAAAGTACATTTATATTAGAAAGGCAGCAAAGAAACCCTTAATCATGAGAAGGACTATTCATTTGGGCCTGGGCAGTGGAATTGGTTTATTATATGCTGCTCTTTAGATGCAGTCTGCCTCTATACTTAGAAAATGTCAATTAATTTATGGTTGTGGAGCTTTCATGCCTCTCCTGATAGCTGGCACATCCTCTTCCCATTTCAATTTGTTGTCTCACTTTCTCATGTGAAAGTCAGAAGAAAAGAAGCATACAGATCACCCTGGGAAGCTGTCAGTCAGACAGGGAGAGGAGAAACTGCCCCTGATTGTCCAGTAGTGTCTAAACTCAGCCTCAGCAGCCAGCCTTGACCTGGGAACTGAGGGGAACTGTAAGACTTGTGGTTATGAAGCAAAGATAATTATGCATAGTGCCGAGGGACTACCTTCAGTTAAGTAATATGGTCATCCTATAAAATCTGTTGCCTTTATGGCAATTTGACATTAGAGAGGGGAACCCAGAATGCTCAGGATTAGGAGAGCAGATTTCATAAATATCCCACTCCTGCTCACAAACTAACCAAGGGCAGCTGCTGCCATTGGCTCATCTGAGTTATCTTTGTATTAGCAGACACACAGGGAATTTATCTTTCATGGACAATCTTTCTCACTGTGCCTTTTCTTTTCCCAGTGCTGGGTGAACTACAGATAGTCACAATACGGGACAGCTCAGCACTGAAAGGAAGTTGGTTTCAGTTTCTTTCCCCACTTACTCCTCTGGAACATCCTCCTGCTGACAGCGGCCGTTCTGCCCTCCACAACTGCTCATACTCTCTGCAGCCCCAGGGTCCAGACAGAGAGGTCCTGGCCCTTCCCACACAGCTGACAATTGCTGTAAGAGAGGGATGCAGGACAGGCAGCAGCTCATGCTATGCCATAGCTGAAAGCTACAAAGCTAAAAATTAATAACAGTTCCTTGAGGAATAATACCAAAAACACTTGGCATAGCTTGGGAACTGCAGGCCTGGACATGGTCTGGCTCATTTTAGTTTGGTTTTAGTGTGTGTTGCCCAGCTGCCAGCACCTTGAGGCTGCTCTGAGCTCTGCTGTGTGTCTGTGTGCAGGATTACAGGGTGAACATCTTCCTGCGGCAGCAGTGGAACGACCCCCGGCTGGCCTACAACGAGTACCCCGACGACTCCCTGGACCTGGACCCCTCCATGCTGGACTCCATCTGGAAGCCTGACTTGTTCTTTGCTAACGAGAAGGGGGCCCATTTCCATGAGATTACCACGGACAACAAGCTGCTGAGGATCTCCCGGAACGGCAACGTCCTCTACAGCATCAGGTAAGGTGACTCCACCAAGGTCATCCCAGCCTAGACTTTGGGCATGTTGCTGGAAAAGAGAAATGTAGGGGGCTTTAAGGTGGGAGATTATTCAATTAGCAGTGATGAAGCATATTGAGACAGAGGCTTGGTCTGGGAAGGAATTTAACTCAACTTTACTTCTTTCAGTTCAAGGACTTCTGCTTGTAGTAGATTCCTTAACATCCCTAATGTAAAATTACTTCAGGTATCTTATGTTGGTACAAGCCTAAAACCAGCTGTGCTGTGTGAAAACCAATAGAAGCTCATGAACACTCTGTTTTCAAAGCTGCAGCTTTTCCTGTTAAAAAAAAAAAAAAAAAAAAAAAAAAAAGAAATCAACCTTAGCCCCCACCTTCACTTCCAACCCCATTCACACTGTATTTTAAAAGAACAAAATTAAGATCAAACTTCACAGGCCTAGACTGGGAAAGTTTAACTCTATACTGAAGACCTTTTCACCTCATGTATAATGTAAATTTGCCTCTGGAACACATACCCCATCTCACACTGCAGCTCCCAGGGGCAGCAATAGGAAGGGAAAGCAGTGTTGAGCTGTAAAATGGAAGATAAATGGCTTAATGCTGCAAAGTAGATGGCCTCCATCAAACACCAAGGAGGTTCCAGCCCAAAGACCTGATGGCCAAAACAATAAGAGAATTACCATGTGTGTTGGCTGAATGGGGGAACTTCACAGTTCTTAATTTTAAAAACCAGACAGGAGAAATAGTCTTTCCCTTTAAAAAGAAAAATCTCTGCCATTTCCTAACTGGTTCTTTGCTACTACTATTTGTAATAATCAAACTCTAGGCAAGACATTTACAAGAAGGTGGATTTTGTCACATCTTCTGTCCCAACATGCCTCTAAACTCAAGCTGAGAATTTCTAACAACGTAAGATTTTAATTTGAAGTATCTTTCCCTCCTGATAAGTTTCTTGTAGGTCTGAAAGTAGAAAAATTCAATTTCTGTCCCCTGGGTAATTCTGCTATTTCTACATCAAGGCCAAAAGTTGAAAATCCAGAGAGCACAGGCAGGAAGAGATGGATGATCTGCCATTCCCCCAGCAGTGCCCACTGTTTGGCATTCCCTGTGCTCTCCTCTCTCCTCAGGATCACGCTGACTCTGGCCTGCCCCATGGACCTGAAGAACTTCCCCATGGACGTACAGACGTGCATCATGCAGTTGGAAAGCTGTGAGTCCTGTGCACATTTTGGAGAGGAGACAATCTCTTTTCTATCACACTGTGACACGAAATAACTCACAGAAGCAGGCTAGATGTAAAAGGAAAGAAAAAGAGCCCAAAAAAGCAAACTTTTATTTTCTGACTCCACTATATATACAATAGCAAATATGACAGTGGATTGGAGGGTGAAACTGCCACCTCTCCAACCACACTGTTTAAACCAACAGTTCATCAATTCTCTCCACACACAAAGAACACAAAATAATCATTATTTACATAAATATGCATGAGAAAACTCAGTAGAAATATGTAAATATCAGAAGGCATAGGAACTTTTAAAATAACTTTAAAACTCTCAAAAGAACAGGGCGACACTTTTCCATGCTGCTCTCCCCTGCCATCTCCTTTCCCATCTGCAGCCCATCCCCAGCCCAGCCTTCACTGGAGGCTTGCTCGAGAACCTCTTGCTTAGGATTTTCCATTTATTCAGCCCATGTGACATTTGCTAGGAAAGCCAAACCTCAAAAACCCCATGTGGGGAACCCTGGCTTGCCCGTGTTTGCATTGGCCTTTCACTTTGCAGGAGAGAGGTGAGAGTGCTTTCAGCTGCAAGAGGGATTTTTTTCTCTCTGGATAAACATCTGCCACTTGTACATTCTGCTTATCCCAGAGGAGGGAAAGATGATGAGCTCCTTCCAGAGAAAGCAGTCGAGAACAGTAGAAAACAGTTCAGCAAGCCAAATTCAAGAAAAAAATGTTATTTATTGCAGAAAATCCATTGCAGCTCCAGTGGAGGTCATTGCCCTGGCTCTTACCACATGAACAAGCAGTTTTGCCTCAACCCAAATCCCATTCATGACAGCACTGTCAAGGAAGGCCAGGATGCTCCCCTGCCTCCAAGCTCTCCTCTGCTACACTGTCCCTTTCCAGATCAGTATTTAACGTGATTCACATGACATTTGTCCCTTCCTCTCAACAGTTGGCTACACAATGAATGATCTCATATTTGAGTGGCAAGAAAAAGGAGCAGTGCAAGTTGCTGATGGGCTGACATTGCCTCAGTTTATCCTCAAAGAAGAAAAAGACTTGAGATACTGCACAAAGCACTACAACACAGGTCAGTGCTGTTAACCCTTAACTGAGGGGTTCAGTAGAGAGGAATTCAGGACTGTGCATTTGCCAGAGTCTGTTGCTCTGTCTGATGTCACTCTGGCCTTGTCCTACACTTCCAGAGATAACAGACATGTGGAAACATATAGCTAATTAGAAGCTAATGGGCATAAATGTGCAAAACCCCAGTAACATCTGCATCAATTCAAGGGTGTTTGGTTGGGATCTTCTCTCCTAGAACCTTGTTTTGTCTTTGTAATTTAAGTGACAAAGGACATACTGCCAAAGAGCTTTCTTTGCTATGTTAATGTTCATAGAATCTTAGAATGGTTTGGGTTAGAAGGGACCTTAAAGACCATATTGCTCCAACCCCCTGCCATGGGTAGGGACACTTTTCACTATCCCAGGTCACTCCAAACCCTGTCGAACCTGGCCTTGGACACTTCCAGGGATCCAGGGACAGCCACAGCTTCTCTGGGCAACCTGTGCCAGGGCTTCCCCACCCTCACAAGGAAGAATTTCTTCCTAATATCTAAACTAAACCTTCTCTCTTTTAATTTGAAGCCATTCCCTTTGTCCTATCACTGGGCATGCCCTGGGCAATAGCTGTTCATTTCCTCCCCTGACAAGACTCTGGTTTAGGCAACTCAAAGAAAAGGAAAATCCCCAGACACTGGCTGAAAACAGGAGGCTCACTGTGCCTTACCAAAACCTTCCATGTATCTCCCATCCTCCTCAGGCAAGTTCACCTGTATAGAAGCTCGTTTCCACCTGGAGAGGCAGATGGGCTATTACTTGATCCAGATGTACATCCCCAGCCTTCTCATTGTCATTCTGTCCTGGATCTCCTTCTGGATCAACATGGATGCTGCACCTGCTCGTGTGGGCCTGGGCATCACCACCGTGCTCACCATGACCACACAGAGCTCTGGCTCCCGAGCATCACTGCCCAAGGTAGGGAACACCCTTGGAACACCAGGGAAATCCTGCCCCCATTTGGGGACAGCATCTAAGGAAATCCCTACACAGATCCTCTTGCTGCCTTTGCACAATTCCTGTGTAAGGACAAACAGAGCAAATTCCAGCCCCATCCTGACAAATTTTTATATTCCAAATGGCTAGCAGCAAAACTTCCCCTAAGATTCAGCACCCACCACAACTCTCAGTTACCAGGAGCTCTGTACTTTATAAACCCCTGCAACAACCACACATGGATGTGCATTCTAATTTTAGCTTTTTAGTCACTTGACCATCCTACTCTTATAATAGTACTGAATTTCCCTTTATGAAAGGCTTCTGGTATGGGGGATTACTGTTTTCCTTGCATATAAACAACCACAATCAAGGCCTGAATAAATTAAAAGCTGTGGAATTATTACTACTTAAGAGCCCATGAGGAGTTTCAGTGACCTGATAACACATTCACGTTAAATGAGTGTGATTCTGCTATCCAAGTACAGATGTCAGCCATGTAAAACACCAAGTAAAAATACATGTGGGTAAGGAAGCCACCCCATTTCTGTCTCTTTCTCTGACTCCTAGGTGTCCTATGTGAAGGCCATAGACATCTGGATGGCTGTGTGCTTGCTGTTTGTGTTCTCTGCTCTTCTGGAATACGCCGCCGTCAACTTCGTGTCTCGGCAGCACAAAGAGCTGCTCAGGTTCAGAAGGAAGAGGAGGCATCATAAGGTAATACATAAAGCATGAAGGACACAGTGAAGTCTGTCCCAGCAGAGCACCATGGCCAACTGAACCAAGCCACTAGCCCCCAGGGAAGTGCCCAGTATCTGGTCAGATGTTAAGGAGGCTCACACACCAAAAAGCAGAGCTGCCCCAAAGAATTGTGCCTGTTCTGACAGCCTGCTGACCCCAGGAGTCCAGCAAGCTGGGTTTTGCTAGCTCAGCTAGAAGGGTTCTTCTCAACAGGACAATTGTCACACAGCAATGTCCTGGTGTGAGTTCTCCTCCCCAGAACTGCAGCCAGGGCTGGGGGGAGGCAGGCAGGGAGGTGTGAGGGATGTCTGTCAGAGAGCAGCACCCCCAACACGACAGCCTGCAGCAGCCCAGAGGTAAGTGACACCTCTTTTGTCTCTGCCATCTCCATCTTCAAAAGCATCTGCTTCTCAGATGGACTGCAAATTCCTCCTGGAAGGAAAGAGCTTTATTCTGAGCCTTAGCCTGCTCCATGCTTACCTGCCGTGGCTGATCCCAATGCCAATCTGAGCATGCACGCAGCTCCGACAGCTCCCCAGCCTGGGCTCCAACAGCAAAGATTTCACCTCACAGAGCACATTAGAAAGAAACATAAAGGTGGCTGCGATCACATGGCCAAAGGCTCTTAGGAATTGTCCCTGGTAGAATCAGGAAAGGGGTTAGCAAAATTTCAGCACCAGGCCTGAGAGACTGCCCTTGGGAGAGCGTTAAAACCAAGTACATTTTCTAGGAGAGAAAATCAAAGACAATTTTGCTGATGAAAATCTCAAGCAAACCCGTAAGTGACCACCACTTAAATATTCCTCATAGGTATTTGTCTACTTTCTATGATGCATCCATCCAGAAACCTTCTCCCATTCCATTATTTCACTGTCCCCAGCCATTAAAAGTCTTTCCCAGGGTCTAACCTGTCCTGCAGCAGATCAGTGTATGCTTGCAGAACTGCTACCATTCCAGGAGGAAGTGGGGCTGAGGAGAAGGAATCCCTGTATTTTTTCCAGATTTGTCTCTTTCTGCTTCAGTCGTCCTATCTGCAAAACAGGAGATAATTGTTCATTTGTGCTCAACACAGTCAGGACCAGGGATGAAAAGTGTTGGACAAAGGCAAGGGAAAAGAAGTAACAGATGAGACCCTCAGCACCCACTGAATTTGTTTGACCAGAACAGGGCTCTGCCATCCCAAAATCAACAAAGCTTTGGTTCAGAAGATGCAGCTGAACAGAGGCAGAGCTAAACCCACACACGTGCGTGCCTCCATAGTGCATTTATCTCTTCATCTGGATTCAGGCATCCCATCTCTGGATCTGTGCTGTTGTATGCAGATCAGTCTGTTGATAAAACAGTAAGAAGGAAAAGAAAGCCACTAATACACAGACAAGTTTAAGAGATATTTGCCAGAGCTGCTCCACTGAATGCAAGGCTGTTAGCACAGTCCCTGCTCAATCTCACAGCTATTTCATTGGAGCAAAGCATAAACAAAAACACTTGTAAAAGCTAAATGAACAAGGTTTACAGGCTCATCAGAAAACGAAGCTGACTGCTAATATGTAAATGGACTAACGAAGCTGCCAAAGGCACTAATTGCTCTGTCCTGACGTCCTGACTTGTCTGGGTAGCTCTGACTGGTTTAGGCATGACACACCAGGCTAAAAAAAAGTGAGATGTTGCAGTGGTATGGACCAGTCTGGTTAACATGACACCATCATCAGACCCACATGGAGTGTGTTTGGAAACACTTCCTGGTGTGGCTGGTGATCTTTGCCTTTCTCCTTTGACATAGCACCTTGAAAAAGACACTATTGTCTTCTCTAACCCTGGTACACCACTCACCAAAACAAAGCCACAGTGGCCAAAACAAAGTCACAGCCAGTGGCTCCTCAGCAATGAAGATAAAAAAAATCAGTAAATTAAGGATCGAGTGGTTTAGGTTAAGCCAGACATGGGCCAGGGTTTGTTTGTGCAATGAGAAAAGAGCAGAGGCCCTAATTACAGACATGACGAGGAGGTCCATATGCTCTGAGTATTGCAGAAAGCCAGATCTTGATTTTATCCGGGTAGTTTTGTTTTGCTCTGTGTCCTCCTCCTCATCCCATGCAGCTGCCCATGGGATGCAGAGGCCATCCAGAAAAGACACTCCTCAAAGGACAGGGGAGGGGGCAGCAGGGCACAGTGGACAGGCAGCTACAAGGGAGGGGGCTGCTAGGTCAGTGGTGGGGGACACAGCATGGATCAGCTTCTGTTAATGATTAATTAGTGCCACTGCTCTACAATTAGCCCTGATGACCTGAAGTCAAGAGACTTTGGATTCTGACTCTGCCTCTGTAAATCACTGCTTGAATTACTCGGGCCAAACTTAGTTTTCCCTGTCATTACATCCCTGTGTTCAATAAAATAGGGCTAAATCATTCTGGGATTCCAGCAAAGCTTTCAACAAAAAAAAACCAAACAGCAACACCATTGGCTTTAGAACACAAATTGTATTTTTTTCTCAATAATTGGCATTACCACAAGCAGCCATGTCTTACCATTGACCCACAGAAGGACACTTCAGTTCCTCACCTATAAGTTGGCTCCTGGGGATGGCTGTGGGGTGCCGTGGGCAGGGAGTGAGGGCTGGTTGCACGCTGCCTGCAGAGCTCTTGTCCTGGACAGCTCCTGGCTCCTGCACATCCATGTAACTCTGTAGGAAGCAGCTGCAGCTCTGGCTACGTGAGTTACATGGAGCCCACTCCTTCTGGGCAAGCTGAAACTGCACAGGCAAAGCAAAGAAGGTGCTGATAGGAGGTGGGGCGGGGGGGGGAATAGGGAGAGGCAGAAGCAAAACAGGGGATGCAATTGGAAAAATGAAAGCAGTGCCACAAACCCTTCAATATGTCAAAGACCTCAGCGGGGTGGAAGTCAGTCCTGTTGTCCACGGGGTGCCTGGATCCCCTGATTTGCATCTGTGCATCACACAGCTGGCACCCCTCTATAAGGCTGGTCTCCCAAGAGCAGGGATTTGCCCAGGGGTGCCGGGGCACGGCGGGAGCATCTCCCCCGTGCAGAGCAGGATGCTGTCAGCGGAGAGCCTTATAGCGAGGGTGCACTGGCTATATCTCATTTTAAGTAGAGTCCCATGCTCAATCTGTTCCAGGAGGACGAAGCTGGTGAAGGCAGGTTCAACTTCACTGCCTACGGGATGGGGCCAGCGTGCCTACAGGCCAAGGACGGCATCTCTGTCAAGGGAGCCAACAACAACAACACGGCCAACCCGGTGCCGCCGCCGTCGCGCTCCCCCGAGGAGATGAGGAAGCTCTTCATCCAGAGAGCCAAGAAGATCGACAAGATCTCCCGCATTGGCTTCCCCATGGCCTTCCTCATCTTCAACATTTTCTACTGGATCATCTACAAGATAGTCCGCAGAGAGGACGTGCACAACCAGTGAGGGGAGGGGAGCAGGCGGGAGGGAGCGAGCAATCCTTTATATATGTGCAATAGCAATGCAGCAATGCATGAATTTAAGAATGCGGCAATATCTACTAAAAAAAAAAAAAAAAAAAAACGGAAAAAATGGGGAAGGGGCTGGGAGGGACTTTTAATCATGTGGACTGAGGGTGTCTGGCACAGGGAGGAGAAAAGAAGCTCTTGATCTGGGGAGCACAGGGTGGGAGTTAGTTTTACAGCATAGGAAGATGTGGATTGCTCCAGCAATCCAAGCAGTGTAATATAGTAATATATATTCATGCTTAATTATAATGCAAAAAGAAAACAAAAGAAAAAAAAAAGACCAACAAAAAAAAAAAAACAACCAACTTTTTTTAGCCTATTAACAGCTTAGATTCTTGAGTCACTGGAATGATTCATGATTCCATGTGCAGAAACTACTGCAATTACGCTTTATCTGACTTTTGCTATAGAAAGGCCATTCCAGTCAAGCACGTGGGGGGAAAAAGCCCTAACAAAAGGGGAAAAACACCTCAAGAAAATCATTCTGTGCTTCTATAGGTTTTGCACTTTGAAAACAGGATAGATGGGGAAACTCAAGAAAGAGACTGTGGATTGCTGTTTATTTTATATATTTACTTTTTTTAGTCACGGGTTTGCCGATCAAACACTTTGTGACTTTTGCATAGAGGAAAGCAAATACATTATCTCTCTCATCCCCACCAGAGAGCATCCAAAGGAAACCCAAGAAGGACATCAGGGCCTTCATCAGAAATCACAGGTACCTTCTGTCCTTTTAAATAACCTGGCAGATTCAAGTCCCAGGAGGCGGAAATATTATTCAGAACATAGAAATTATGAAGATTTTTTTAAATAGTTTTTTTTTGTTTATTTGTTCTTTTTTCTTTTTTTTTCCAAACCCCTTTCTGCCATGTTTGGTTACAATGGGGGGATGGAAGCAATTGTATTTAAAATATAGAGAAAACAGGCATCTTGATGCCTTGTTTTGACAGGACCGGGCGTGTGGCAATACTGTCAGTGAGGGGGGTGGGGGGCAGGTGTGTATAGAGAGAGCAGCTTTTATTTTCTGACATTTCATAGCACTTATATTAATAGTGAAGCTGGGTCAATAGACCCAAAATTATATTTTTGTATCTATTTTGGTGCTGCATTTACCTTGAACACAGATGGGAAGTTGGAGCAGGCTGCTTTACCCCTCTCTGCTGCCCAGCAGAGAGATGGGGGAGGCTGGCACAGCTTGGTGGGGATGGGGACAGGGGGAGGGAGGTGGGAAGGGGTGAGCCAAGGGGTTTCTCTTTGCCCAAGAGGTAGCACAGGTTGGCATCGGTGTTTGGGGTGGGGAGGAATGTGCCAAGCACCTCTAGGGTGTTACTTGAAGCCTGGCTTGGGGCCTGTGGGCAAGCCAAGGGCTTGGTGTCCCACTTGTCCCTCTGGGCCCCTGGGTGTGAGCTGGCTGCAGCACCCAGGGTGACTCCGTTGTGTTCGTTTGCACTTTAGGGAGAGAGGTGAAAGAGAGGACCAGGGAAGAGACAATCACAGTCTGCACTGAAGCACTTGGGGTCAGGTCTGGGTCAGGCACCGAAAAGGCAGAGAGAAAAGTGGCACCCACGGGGTGCATCCACTCTCCTCCCTCTCCTGCTCAGGATGGGAGCAGAGCTGGGCTGGGCTGTGGGGACAGACAGCTCCCTCCTGCAGAGGCTGGAACAGCTCCCAGCAAAGTGCCCTGAGGCACTGCCAGCTCCAGCCTGGCCCAGGCCAGCAGCACCCAAGCCTGGGATGGGAGGTTGAAGCCATGCTCAGCCATGGGTGTCCCAACCAGCACAGAAAGCAGCAGGTGAGAGGACAAGGGAGCCTGGGACCTGCACAGGGATGATGCCAGGAGGAGAAATAGCAGAGAAAACACCATGGCTTGCTGGGGCTGGGTAGAGGGACATCCATCTCCAAGGCTGCCATCCAGCACCTTTCACCAGCACTAAAAACACTTTAGTTTAAGAGGTAAAAAAAAAGAAAAAAAAAAAAAAAAAAAAAAAAAAAGGAAAGAAAGAAATGAAGGACAAAAATAGCAAGAGGAAAAGAGGGAGAAAAAAAGATTAAAACCACAGTGGTCACTATGTGGACTAGGGCAAACGTTTTGGCAAAGGCCACCCAGTTTTCTGAGTCCCTTTGTACTGCTGAGACAGGGACAGGTCACAAGATAATGGAGTGGGAGCATGAACCATCACATCAGCCCTTTCCCTCCCCTGGAGCAGCAGAAAACCTGTGGGCTGAGGGTTTCTCCTTCCCCTGGCAGACGGTGCTTTCCCAGGCAGGGAGATCTCAAGCAGAGGCGTTATTTGATGCTGGGGCAACATCCCGAGCCTTGGCTGGAGCCCAAGTCTGCTGCTGGCTCTGGGCTTTTGTGCTGAATTATTGAACTCTCCCTGCGTGTGCCAGGGCCGGCTGTGCCAGCTGCGGTTTGCGATTGCTTCAAACAGCGTGTCCTTGTCTGAGATGAAAGGCAAATCCAGGGAATTTCCTTCCTTCCCTGGCAGCACAGCAGAGGCTTGGCAACCCACATACCGCAGCTCCTTCCTCATGCAGGTGAACGACCTCAGATTGCTGTGATTTGGGTAAAAATGTCCTGTCTGGCTGCCTGGACCTTGCACTTTGCAGTGGGGCGATCTGGCCGTGCCTCACACCCCGTCCGTCCCCCCAGGCTGCCTGGGCTGGCTCTGCAGGCCACAGCAGGGCTGCAGGGCTCCTTCCTAAAGGAGCTGCCTCTAGGTCAACAAATCCCATGGCCCATCTTCCCACCTAGCTGAGGTTTGGTCCTACACGAAACCCAAACCCCGAGGGCAGGAGCAGAGCGAGGAGGAGGAAGACATTTCCGCCTCACTTCATTCTGCTCCAGCTGAACATCGGAGAATCCCGTGTTCATCCTGGACCTCCTGGGTGCAGATGCAGTTGTGTCACAGCTGCTGCTTCACCACAGCTCCAGTGCCACTTCTTGGCACAGAATAAGGCTGGAGGAAGGCATGTAGGGAATAAAAATCATCAGAAATATGCTGTTTCTTGCCATACAGAAGCACTTCAGCTGCCAGTGGAGCCCACGGAAGTTTAGGGACTGAAATAAGAATCACACTCTTACCAGCCTGTCTTGGCTTCCAGTTCAGCTTTGCCAAGTTCTGGGCACATCTGATGCTCACCATAATCAGTGTTATTTTCTCTTCCTTAAGCTGCCAGTTTCCATTTGGGCCATTTTGCAGCCCCAGGGCTGCCTGCAGGGTGACGGTGAGCAGCACTCACATCCCAACAGGAAACACAGGAATCTTGGTGAAGGTGTGACAGGCCTGAGATAACCGTCCCAGGGATGTCCTGCCAGAGACTTTCACCACCTAGACACGACTTCAGACTGTCCTATAATCCCCTGGCAGGTCTGGGTAGTTTTCAAAATCAGAGATTTCCCTCCATCTGTACCAGGCTGTGTTTAGTCTCTGTATTGCAAAAGAACTCGTTTTGATAAGTTATCTCATCTTTAATGTAGGCTGCTTTAATGGGGCCAGCAATTATGTTTATTAGTAAGAATGCACAGGGTTTGATATTGCAGGGTAACTTCCAGGCATATTGATGGAATTTAACTCCATAATTGTTATCTTTCCTTAAGACTGAGGCTCAGAAGCAAAATCTCTGAATAAAAACGGCTGTTGTTTGGCAGTAAAGACAGAAAATTGGGTCATAATTCACTTGGCTTCTTTGGAAAAAGAGAGCTTTATCCCAAACATTATTTCCAGATGTTGCTGGAGATGTAATGCTTTGTGAGCAGGAATTCTTTTTCCTTGCACATAAATAGAATTGTCCACAGTAAAAAACCACCAGCTTATTCTGTTTTGATCAGATAGAAGCATTTCTCCCACTTTAATACTTGATCCATCTGGGATCCCAGTGCCATGGAAGTCAGAGAGGTGCTGAAGAGGGTCCAGGACAGAGCAGTGAGCACGTGGGCTGCTGCAAACTGCAGAGCTCAGCCTTGGCTTTGGCCAAGCACCAGCTGCCTGGGAACACTCAGGTCGTTCCCTCCGTGGCTCTGGTGGTGCCCTAAGTCTCCTGTCCTAGAAGCCTTTGCTTGTCAGGCCTGGGAGACTTTGCTTCTAAAACCATCTAACTATTTCAAAGGCTGAATAACCTCACATCCTCCAAACAGGAACTCTTTTTTTGCTTTATTTTTCTCAGACTTTTCTGGAAGATTTTCTTATTCTTCTGAAGATCTTTCATTTTGCAAAGAAAAGATAATTCAAATTACACTGTTGGCTGCCCTTTATCTTGACTGTGATTTGAAGACTTCATTTCCCAGTGCTGGTAGAAAAAAAGATTAGAAGCATTTACAATGTATATTTATGAAAAGTAAGGAACATATGAAAGGAGAAAAGGCTTTTTAGTGCCATATTTTTCAAAGGTTGTATACAATCATATTTTTGTACTGTACTACCATTACTTAATAAAACATAGTTCTTATATCCATCCCTCTGTCAAAGACAGACAATCTCTTTCAACATCCTATTCCTTACTCCAAAACCTTGATACTGGCAGCAGTGGACAGCACAATGTGGACCCCAGTACCTCAAACCCCAACCCAGCTGCAGCATGCCACAGAGCTCAGCTCAGCAAAGGAATTATCTGGTCCATCCCCAGCTTGGAAACACCCACACATTCCTGTCTTCTTCTCAAAAGGAGGTGTATGGAAGGGGCATCCTGTGCTGCTCCTGCATCAACAGTTTTCCATTATTTGCATGGAGAGAGTGTACTAGTAGTTAAGTAGAAAATTGAGATACTTGATTGTTCTTCAGGGTGCTAGGATGAGCACCAAAGCAGAAGCTAATAGTCATTAATTTTAGCATCTTAAATTACTTCAGGTTCTTTAAGCCTTGCCATTCCCTTCTCTCTTCCTCCTTAACAATTGTTTCTTAAGGGCAGTTCCACGCCTCTTGCTCAAATGAAGCTGCACGAGTCTCTCACTTCATTCGAGTCTAATTCACTTCTCTGTGTTTATCTCCCTTTTTTTTTCATTCCTGTGGGGCTCAGTTCCTCAGCACTGGAAACTTTGAAGGGTCTGGGATCAGTGTCTTGGCAAAATACGGCACTAAAACCATTCCCTGAGGCAGGCAGGGACAGCTCCCAGGGAAGTGCTGGAGAGGACTCCTGGGGAATGCCAAGGTGGCCATAAGAGCTTCCTTGACTGTGCTCTGTGAAAGAAAGCAGGGTCAGGGAGAGGGAATTCAGTCTGTGGCTGTTATTCCTGTAGAGCTCCCTGTTTGCCATGGATCCAGCTGTACAGCAGCTGTTTACAGGAAATCAGACCCTTGCACTCTCAGTCTCCTGCAGTGGTGTGGAGGGCAACAAACCAGCTGCTGGAACCAGGCAGGGTGGAAGGAGTTGTTGCACTTTGAGCTGCCCCACTCTGCCTGCAGGTGTTTGCAGGGGCTGAGACCTTCTCTGAGAGCTGCTGGCATGAGCAGCCCTGGGGTGATGCCCTCAGGTGATCCCAGGCTGCGGGAGCACTGAAGGGCACAGCCCAGCTTAGAGGCACCAGAGCCTGGCAGGGGGAAGCCCAGCCTGTGCCAGGTGAGGAATCCTGGCCTGAGAGCCCCCAAGGCCAGGAGCAATGACCTCTCTCTTTGCAGCTTTCCTGCTTCAGCTCCTCCCTCACCTGATCATATTGTCCCAGCATCACCTGCCTGCTGCTGTAACGTTGGAAAGGACACAAACCACAGGGCAGGAAACAAGAAGAGGGATGATTTCAGCCCCCAGCAGAGGAAATTACTGGCTAAATTGTCAAATCAGGATCCTGAGAAGGACAAGGGGAAGGAAAAGCACTAGGAAAGGTTTAGTTTGCAAGCCACATCACTCCTGCCATCCAAGGTCAACAGTGCCAACAAGGATGGTGCAAGGCAGCAGGAATTACATGATGTATTGAAATAAGACCATCAAGTCTGGCAAACCTAAGCTGCAGTCCTTGTGCACCTCACTGCCAGGTTCTGAGCAGGAATGATAAGGGAGTCTTGTGTTTGTGATATTCCTGCTTCTGGGTTTGTTACAGACAGTGCTGAAGCCCATCCTGGGATAGGACTGGGTCCCAACAGTGCTGGAGCTGGGTCAGCCATGGTTTGACCCAGAGCATGCACAGGGAGAGGGAACAGAGGGAGCAGATTCAGCACAAGCTGATGTTGCCACTCTGGGAAAGGCAGGGGATTGCTGGGTATTGGTTTAACAATCCTGCAGCACTCAGAGCATCAAAAAGCACAAGGCAGAGGGAGCAGCAGCTCCCAGCCAGGAGAGGGGACACAAACCCTGTCCCCAGACTGAGGGTCAAGTATGTCAGCACTTCCAGTATAAAATCATCCATGTTTTCCTGGGCAGAGGATGATACCAGCATAAATAAGCCATCAGCACAGCTTGAATTTAGCTTTTATTTACAGATTTTCCACTTGAATTGCGTAAGTAGCTTAAGTCAAACAAGGACATCCTCCTCACCTATCCAGAAAACTGGAGCATGAGGTATCATCAGTAACCAGTGGCCAGGCTGTGATCGTGCCACTGCTGTGGCACATGAGGCAAGTTTGGCACAAGCAGGGGCAGGCAGAAGCTGCCTGGAGCTGCCAGGTCTGAGGGACACAGAGCTCACAGGTAGTTTTTGCTGCTAAGGCTTTTGGGAAGCTGGGCCCAGGACTGTTAGCAAGCCAAAATCCCCTCCCCAGAGGGTCTGGGGGAGAACACCTTCCTTATCCAGGCACTTGGTGACACTGCAGCACTGCTGGGTTACCTGTCTGACAAAAACATGAATCAGGCTTTAGGCTGCAACCAGCTGAACCAGATGGCCGAGGTGAAACACAGCACAGAATTTGGGCACTAAATTACTGCTCCAGGTTCAAGCCTGAACCTTTGCAGTGATGACACCATTGCAGCCACAATTACAGTGGAGGCCTGGTAAGTGCTTAAAGCAGCATGGCCCTGTCAGAGCCCTGCACACACCAGCAGGGCAGGACCTGCAGTGGAAATAGGGCCTGGGCTGCAGTGTTTTTGCCTGGCACCTAATCCCAAAACACTGACCTTTACTGAACAAAGACTATGCAATATTGAAGGTTGTGCCACGGGTGGTGCCTTGGCCACCTCTCCTGGGTGTGCACTCACACATTCCCAGAGGTATCCTCAGCACAGTTACTTGGGCTGGGGTGAAGAGCCAAGGAGTTCCTAAGGAGCAGGGCCAGCTCTGGAGCTTGTGATGTGCCACAACCACGCTGTGACCACAGCCAGGTCTGCTCTGCTGATGCTGCACTGTTAGAAAAGAGAAGAGCCCTAAGAGTTCAGCTCCCCAGCCAAGGTAGAGTGAAGGCAGGGATCCAAAAAGACAGAGGAAGAGCAGGTCAAGGATCATGCAAGGCAGGGAACCTGTAGTACTTACTCCTTGCTGAAGTGCAGTCACTGCAACCAGCGTGGTCTTCCTGGGAGTCAAGGCTTTAAATACTGCTGCTTACTCCTTGAGGGGCTGGAAAGAGAATTCAGGAGGCTGGACTTGTCCCATGGAGGAAGAAACATGGGGCAGCATGGACAGCATCACCTCTAAAAGCAGGGCTCAGGAAACCAGCAAGGAAAGGAAGTGGAGGGGTAGCCCCTGTTACATAAGAATGGTGCTGGGAACACACCTTGCTGCATGCCAAGGTGTGGGACACAGGTGCATCCTTCACAGGCAGGAATGTAACTATCCACCAATCCCACTTTTGATCAGGATAACTAGAATAATTAAAAGAAAAAAATAAATCCCTAATGACTTAGGCTATTGTTACATCCTGTCCTTACCATTTTAAGTGGCTGTGGGCAGTCCCTTGGTCACAGCAGTGAGCTCAGCTGTACAAGAGATGCTCAGCTAGGGGCTGACCCAACAAAATCTTAGCACAAGGGAGCAGAAGTTCCTTTGCTTTGTGCATATCTAGGCCAAGGAAACAACTGAACCAGGGCTTTGAAACACTCTGCTTTGTCTACACTGAATCTGTACTTTCCTTTCTCTTCCAATCTTCCCACATCTGCTAAGTTTTTGTCCAAAACACTGTCATTCTTCCAATTCCAGGGTTAGATCAGAAGAGAAAATAAGCTTAGAAACTGCATGGGCCAAGCTGACAAATCCCCAAGTTAACCTACTCAGAGTGGAGAAATGTAAAAACAGCAGCTCCACACCCAGACTGATGTCCCACCCCACCCCATTCACAGCCCTCCAGCCCTGACCAGTGCCACTTGACAGGGCATTTAAAAGACACACATCTTTCAGAACCATAATTGATCCATCCATCCTTAAATCAAGCCACAACAGCAGGTTAATCTGGGGATCTGTCAGCTTTGGGAGCATTCAAATTGTAACTTTTGGGAAGTCAATGTTATGATCCAAACAGTGATGTTATGTGAGAATTTGAGAGGCAGGTAAGCAGTTAACCTTCTCCTCGCTGGGAAGAGTGACCTGTTGTGCTTGAACTCTGCCTCTGAGCTCCTTCTCACCGTACAGCCAGCCTGGTGCTCCCTGTGACTGGGGCAGGGGCTCAGGGGACACTGGTAGCTCCAGAGGTACCTGAGGCACAAAGGCCAAGGGACTTACCTCACCACATGCATGTGGAATGAATGATCCTGGAAAATGCACCGCCTGGAGTGTCTCAAGTCTACAGTGAAATGGAATTCCTACACAAAAAGAGACGTTTGTGTGGTTCCCAAGCCTGGTCCTGACATACTGACAGCACTAATCATGGCCAGAGCTCACCTCTTCTTTCATGGACTCATTGAGCTGCAGCAAAGGTTTGTTTCAAAAGAACTGAAATAGGAGGTAACTGTGCTAAAAGCCATTCACACTCGTGTGTGTGAGAGAGATACAGCAAAACTTCAGTGGATTATGAGACTGAGAGATGTAAAGACAAAGCAACACACAGAGGACTTCACCCAAAAATGGCCTGACATGCAAAGGTCACTGCATTCCATCGCAGTTTGACATCCTGCAGCACTGGTGACACCACGCTGGAAGCAGCCTTGGAACCCTGAAGATGCACAAGCCTGTCCCAAACAGTTTGTCACCATCCACCCGAGATCAACCCACAGCCATGAGCAGGCTAAACATCGTGGACAGTGACATTTTATGGACTGTGTCGCCTCTCACCTTCTACCACAGTGTACAGCATACCATGCTTGTTAAATTACAACTAAGGAGTAATGGGAAACCTACACTTAAGTGACATGAAAAAAAGGGGGGGGAGGACCCAAGAATTTCTCCCATCCAACTATAAACGCACACCCATTTACATGGTTTTGTAAATAAATTTAGAAGAAAAATAAATATATTAAGATATTTCTCTTCAGGACAACCATCGCACATTTGGTTTTGCTTTGGAGGGGAGATACAAACACACACAGCAGGAATCTGTTCCAATTAATAATATGCAAAATAAATAGAGGTGGGAACAGTTCAGCACCTAGACAGCATTTTCCATCTGTCTTTGATAAATAATTCCCACAGCATTTACTTCACTAGTCAAACCTTCAACACCTGGTATGTAGGAATACCTCACAACACCTTCTGAAAAAAGCCTATTAAACAGTGGCATTGTGCTGCCCCATTTTCTGTATCTCTCCCATCTGCAAGCCATTTGTATGAAGAAAATCTTTGTTTCCAAAACTTGGCTTACTAAAGCTCGTTTGTTCCCCAACACAACAGCGCCTTGATGCTGTTTACAGCAGGGGCAGCCCAAGGCTGGGCTGCTCCAGCAGCAGCACTGGGAGATGTTCCGGGGTGCCCCATCCCTCTGCCAGCACTCCCTGGCCCCGGGAGAGCAATGCCAGCCACCCTCCCCTCAGGGTCAGAATGTGGGGTTTAACACAGAAACAAACCTCGGCTGTAGGACAGACCCCTGGGCACACACATCCCCTGTACCAGCGTTCTTTTCCAAGTACTAAATCCAGATTTGAGCTATTGATGTGGGGTTTCATGCGCTTGCTTAAAAAAAAATTAAACAAAAAAGACGTTTTCCCAAGGTTGTTCATCAGGAAAGGATGGCAACAAGGTCAGAGCGTTGTCCTTCTCCAATCTTATCAAGATCTCAGAAGCAGTGACATTAAACTGGCCCAATCTGATCAACTTTTCAGCACAGGGAAAAGGAGCAGCTGCTCTTAACAGGACAAAACTCATCACCCTTTGAATTCACATGAGCCTCTTTAAAACAGTGAAAGAGCTGCATATGCAGCTGTTTGTGTATTCTTCTTTGCAAGGTGGGTGCTGAAATATCCACATCTCGCAGGAGATAATCAGAAAAATATGCACAGTAAGAATCCCTGGAGTTAATGCAAGAAGGAGAAAAGAACTGGGCAATGCAAGTGCTCTCTGAGTACCTCTGCTGGTTCATTTACACAATTTGAAAAAAGAACAGAGAAGTCGGTGCTTTTTCATTTTCATGCTACTCTGCATTCAAGAAGAAGGCAGGTGAGAAATACAAAATACAAAGTGCAGTCGTGTTTAAAACATAAGATGTAAAATTTTTGAAAATGAATAAACCAGCTTAATCATCAAGTACTTATAGATCTTCTCCCTACCCAGCTTAAAAAGGGATGTCCCTGTATTTGCTGTATGAATTTATTATGTATACATATGTATAAATCTATACATACACAAAATTGGTATGGCCTTACACTCCATTCAAGGATATTTTGCTACATTGGTCAGAGTGCAAAGCAATTGCTTCCTTCAAATCAGTATTTTTACATCATGAAGACATAAACCTGTAACTTAGACAATTTGCATGACCACACAGCCACAGTGGCAAATTATTTTTCTGGCTTGTAAAAAAAAATTTTAAAACAGAAGTTCTATTTCAGCAGTTTGAAGATGGAATGTAAAGTTTCTGCTGTTAAATGTATATAAAATATATTTATTGAATCATACATTCATGCTGATTCCAATAAAAAAAAATAAAAGATTTTTCTGAAGTTTCTCTCCATGGATTTTTACTGCTGGTTGCTCCATGCAGCAGCTAGAAATACCAAGAAAAAAACTGTATTTATTGTACTATTTTGCAAGCTAGGACATTATTTATACATAGCTTTAAATTCTTTGGTAGATGGAGCGACCTTGGTGCAAACACCCAAAATAACATTTCAGAATACAGGACTCACACTGAATCACAGTCACAATAAAGTGTTTTTCCCTCCACTGTCAGGTGCTTTGTCAAGTTTGAAATATCACCAGTGGAACAGCAGGTCCCTCTTCGCTTGGCAAATGGCATTTTGTGACAGAAAATACAAGGGCAGCATCCTGCCCTTCAAATCTATTCTGAGAACATGCCATTACTCTAAAACCTGTTTTTAAGTGATGATGGAGTTTGAAAGAATTTTACCCAGTTTCATGTCTCATAACCAAAACAATTATTAATGGACTGCCTTTCTCCATTCTTCCATATAACATCCAAAGAACTTTCCCAGCTTACTGCTGGGACCTTAAATCAATGAGGCAATTCCTTCTTCCCACAGCACACACAGCTTAAAACTTCACATAGTATGTGCTCCTATCCCCAAGAAAAACATTATAATGGAGCAAAAACAGTTAAGAAACAGAGTTTGTTAAAAAATATGCCCTTCCATGATGTACAGAAAAAGCAGCTGCAGAGATCAGCTCCAGATCTTCCTACCTGGCCCAAAACCATCTTTTTCACTCTGGACAGTGAACTCCCAGTCCCAAGGACACCTCTGCCATGGGGCACCAGGGGGAAGCTTCTCAGACTGAGGTCAGAGCTCGCTCTTACCACACAGGCTGTTTTCTACCTCGGGAGTAAATCCTCTCTGGCAAGCTCTCAGCAAGCTCACCACTCCCACACTCACCTGTATGTGGATAGTGGACACCCAGCAACACCAGACCTTCAGTAGGAGTAACTATAAAGTAAGAAAAAAGGGCCCTGCAGAACAAGGAAGCGATCCCAGTCTGAATCCTTGAATGCAGAACCAACATCTGCATTCCCACACAAAGATCTCAGTTCAGCTTTACAAAACAGCCCCATACAAGGGTGCTGGTGCATCCCAGTACTGCAGATGCTTCTCTGTGCTCAAGGGGTAACTTAAATCTTTAATTGTGCAATGCTCTGGAAGGAAGAAAAAGCAGCAGAGGCAGATCATGGCTTCCAGTCCTGGTTTGGGTGCCACAAAAAATACCCCTGCGCGTGAAATGCCCTCATTTCTGCTTGTCTTACTCTATTAGTATCAGGCAGAAGAGGCCAGATCACACCAGTCATACATGAAACTCTCTGTACTCCCAGAAGGGCAGATCCAGGTTTCATGACCATGAAGGTTATTCCAGATCTGTCCATGTGGCTGTGATGGGTGCAGAAGTGTTACAGCTCCAGACAGCTTTTCTTCACTTCCCAATTCCCTGCAGAGCACTGGGACACCAAGTACCACCACCTCCTTGTCCTGACTGGAGGCACCAGAAAGGAGACACACACAGTCCGATTCATTTCAGACTGTAGTATTTTGTTCCTATAAAGAGCTGGGCTACCTTGGTTATCAGCCTCCTTGGAGCTCACGTAGCCCACTGCAGGCAGATGAGGCAAATCACATCATGGTTTCTTCAGAGTCATCTTCAAGAATGCATGCAAAGCACTGGAGGCCTTAGACAAGAGATACCGAGGTTTTAACAGTACAGCAAGACAGAAACCTGAAGGGCTGGAGGCTACAGAAAGCCTAAAATATCAAAACCAATGTGCAACACCTTACAGCAGGCATCTTCAGAGGACTTTGTTATGAGCAAGTCACAGAGCACCAAAATGCAAAT